TGAGGAGGGCACTTGGGATGAGCACTGGGTATTGTATGTAAGCATGAATCACAGGAATCTACCCCCAAAACCAAGATTACACTGTGTACACTGTATGTTAGCCAATTTGACAATAAATTATATTAAATAAACAAACAAATAAGCAAACTTAAAAAAAGGAATATCTTACATGTTTATAGCATAAGTTATATACATTCAATACATATTCGGACATTCAGTGCAGATTTGGCTCCTGAAAGGAAACCATAATCCTTCTCTCTTGCGTAATTTCCTGGAAGGCTTTCTCCCAAACTTCAGGATGGTTTCTTACCTTCATGTAGGAACACCACAGGCTTTCAGTGACCTTTCAGATGACGGGCTTCAATGGGTGTCCCACCCCACAAGGATATCAGCCCAGTGGGATAATACAGTGTGTCATACAGGTTATGCCCAAAGAGCCAGCACACTGCCGGCATGTACTAGAAAACTCCATGGCCTAAGTTTTCTGTTCAGAAAAAGTTAAAGAAATGTAGTAGTTACACTATTACATATAAGTCACTGGTTGGTGCTGCAAAAGATATCCAAACTCAGTACAGTGCTGGCACTCAAAAAGTTGACAGTGTAATACTGGGAATTCAAATAAATTTCAATTGAAATATAAAACTGACTGAGCGCCTTCTAGGAGCCAGGCACTTCTAGATGGTTGGCATACAGTAAATAGATACAGAGAGACATGGAGCCTCCTCATAGCTCTTAAAAAAAAGAAAGTTGAGCTATCAAACTTGCCTCTTATTCCGTCTCTCAATTTCTGCTTGTGACATTTTGTTTATGTCATTTTAGACACCAAGACTTGAAGCCTTGCCTGACTTCCTTTTCTTCGTTGCACACCTCCTTTCCACTTTAGTGAATTATAGCACTCTGGGCTTTAATCGTGGGTCCCTAAGCTTTTCTTGGTTTACTCTTTTTGCTAGGGTGGGAGTTGTCTTAAATTTAAATTAAACACCTGATCTGTAAAGAAATGAATTGTTTTCCACTTAACTATTATTGGCCAGCCTTTTTTTTTCTTTTCATTTATTTCTTTGTACTGTAAACACTTATTAAGTACCTCCTATGTGAAAGGCATTGAACATACTTCTCAGCATTTAAAGATAGGTAGCAGCCTATTCCTGTGCCCCTGGTCCTGGGACTCAGGGGCAAAAGACGCTTAGTCATTAGACATGGAAGTTTTTTCTGCTGATAGTGTAGAAGGGACTCTTATTCAGAGTTTTTTATTCAGTTTCCCAGAATCAGTGACCCTTCCCACCCACCTGTACTTGGCTTGGTCTTAGGTTTTAGAGAAGGAGAAGAAACGTAAGAAGCGAAATGAGGATGAATCAGAGACAGATGATGAAGAGGAGAAAAGCCAGGAGGACCAAGAGCAGAAGAGGAAGAGGTAAGGCGGAGCAAAGAGAAATGAGATAAAGACTGCAGTTAGGGCTGGGGAGAGGGGTGGAGGTGGATCCAGTACTGCTGGTCGACATCAAGGTTTTAGGGAAAGGGTGCCTAGATCTGCAGGGTTGGAAGCCAGAGATAACCTAGGCAGAGAGTGAGCAGGCCCCTCTGTTGTCTTTGGTATGGTGCTTTTGACCTCTTTCCTGCTAAAGCTAAGTACCAGGAACACTAACTCACTTGGGTTTTTGAGCATGTCTTTCAGAATCCTTTCCTCACGATTACTTTTTCCTCTCATGCCTGTGGTTGAATTTATAAGGGCATGTAAGAGGGAAGAAGAGCATTGGGAAGCAGGGCCTGTTTGTGTTCTAGTTCGGAGGCTTTTGATCTCTTAAGAAAAAGTAGCAGTTTGTACAGGCCTGGGCCTAGTGTTTCACTTTGATTGTAGGTAGTTCTAGTTCTTTTTCTCTGGTCGGAGGCACAGGATGGATTTCCCCAAAGCCTTTCTCTTAATTGCTATGGGTATTTTAGGAGGAAAACTCGTCACTCTGATGCCAAGGATGGGGGCTCCTATGACCCCTATGACTTCAGTGACACAGAGGAGGAAATGCCTCAAGGTGAGTGAGTGTCCCCTATTGATTAAGAGGTGGTTCCTTTGCTGACTTTAGTTGCTCTGTGTACTGCATTATCTGGTGGGTTCCCATTTGGTTTCCTGCTCAGGGCCTTGTGTTCAAGAGGTTTGTCCTAAGAGAACTTAGGGAAATCCAGTCAAAACATGGAAACTGGGCCCAGTTTGCTCAGTAGTTTGCTTCTTTGAGCTGTGCTTTTTGCCAAGCCTGGCTTAAGTATCCCAGACAATATATGAGATGTCTGACCCCTTTACCCTGGCTGGCCCCTTAAGAACCTTAGGAAGTGAGTATTTGGCAGACTTAGTGAGGTGTGGCGAGTGGGGATTGCTTGTCTAATGTCTGTGGAAATGGCTTCATCTGTTGTCTTCCTGTTATCTGCAACCATTTATCCTCTAAAGTGCATACTCCAAAGACCGCAGACTCACAGGAGACCAAGGAGTCCCAGAAGGTGGAATTGAGTGAATCCAGGTGAGTAGGAAAGTGAATGCCACATGTCCTTGAGGCAAGGACTTCTTTTCTGGGGAGAGGGTGTGAAACAAGCTGGTTATCAGCAGAGCTCAAAATTGTAGGCCCAATGATTTTTAGAACATTTTATATTCTGATTACGATTTCAAACTTTAAAAAAGTTGCAGAAATAGTGTAAAGAACTCCTTTATACCCTTTGCCCAGAATCCCCTGTTGTTTACATTTTATCATTTGCTTTATAAACGGTGCTCTATGAGAATTTTAAATATAGTGTCCTTGGGAGGTCAGGAAGGAGGAGAGTCTTGAAGCAAGAACAAAATTTTTGTCTTACTATAACCTTGGGTTCTTTTCAATAGGATACAGACACACATTTTTCTTTATTGAATTGTCGTTATTTGCTTTGGGATGAGGAATTGTTACCACTAGAGGTTCAGAAACAGTTTTATATATCTATTTTTATGTTTACTGGACACCAAAGAAAATCTA